TGGAATATTTAAAAAACAAGGATCGAATATAATATGTTCAATTCATGTTTGCAGAATCTTGTGTTTCATTGATTATCTATATTAAAGTATAGATGCAGGTTCGTGGGCACTTGGGAGTGAATTGTTTTTTGCTTTTTATTATCCAAACAGTCTTGGCTATAGACTGTTAAAATTTTGTAGAATTGTGAATAGTGGAACATACTCAAAAAACGATTTTAAAATATAGATAACAGGTGCAAACATTCTCTCTTTTGAATGCTGTACATAAATAATAAAAAAGAAACATGGTAAAAAAAGAAGAAATGACTATATGCACTACATTTAACCTTTAACAAAACGATTAGATAATACATTTGGAACTGTTACAGCCATTTTAATTATGAGCATTAGCAAACTTCTTACTGAGTGAATTGTTATGCAAATTAGCAATTATCTCAGCTTCTTTTTAGTGCACATTCCAGAACTTTTAAAAAAAAATTCACAAATAATTGACAATGTGTGTACCTTCAAAACGCCGTCGGGGCATTGTGTTTGGTTGAACAGTGTTACAATCGTACAGACAACTAGCCTGGGTGTTAATTTATGCATAAACTTGAAGAAGTGAAATTTGGGCTGCTGCCCTGCAAAACTGACAACTGGTAGACAGTTTTCAAGACGGCGCTTTCTTCATAATAAACAGATGTACCATAAACCAATTTTGACAGGAAACAGAAGTATGGTTTAGGAGATAATTTTTTTTAAATCACTTTTGACCAAAAAAACACATTTTTGTGCATATTTCAAACTAAAGTGTCCATAAAAAAATACTAACAAAATTTTAAAATTCATACAATAAGCTTTCCGAAAATATATAGTTTTGTGGACAAGGGGGGAGTCATCTTGGTTTCCTAATTAACTAATTAAAATACCTGTCAGGTAAACTGCATCTCTACCTTAAATAAATAATCTAAAAGTAAATAAGCAACTTACTTCATTTCGTTTACTTTCCAGCTTTCTCCAAAGTCATCAGCATCTTTTGCATCACTACCATCTGGTTTTTGAAAATCATTGGCAGCAACACCATCAGCATTACCCATCAGACCGCATAGTTTTCCGTGATAAAAAGAGCCATCGTAAGTAACACTTAATGCATGCTTTCTCAGAGTCCACTTCAGAGTAAATGTTGTGTTTTTCGAAGTGAAGTTCAGAATAATATTCTTATCTTCCTCCTTGACAGTGATAACTCTTGCTGCAGTCTTCTGTCCACCAGTACGTCCCTGTGAAAAGAATGTATGTCGATTCTATGAAAACAAACCATTAAATTTAATATGACTTTTAGCAATACAATTATACTACACACTGAAAACTTACTGTAGTAATGTCCAGTCCATCAATTATAGAGTATTCATCTCCAACAGTAACTTTGAAAGCGACAATTCTCGTTCTGACTTGGTCTGGAGAACTATCTTCTCTTGGTTCAAACTTAGTTGTGACTTCAAAACGAGACTTGTCGGCGCAGTCCTTGAACAGTGTGTACCAGCATGTGCCTTGGAATGTATATGCACGACCATCAAATGTTTTCAAATGTGGATCACCATGACAACCAGCATCTATTGTAAAACATCAAGATTTATATTTATAATTGTTCTATGTATATCTTCCCAAAACAATCATAACCCATCTCCCGATCTTGGTTTTAAACAATGCTTATTTACAAGTAAAAAACTGTTTCCGTCGTTGAAAAACTGTCCACATTCACTAGTAAACGATTGTTTTTCTAAACAAGTTTGTTCACACGCGATCCAGGTGTAGTATCACTCATTATTTAAACAGTTGACGTTTGTTTGAATCTTCATTCTGACTATATAATGTTTTTAACCAGCGAATATTCAACACTTCCGATGAAAATCTCCATATTTCACTGTTACGAGAAAAAACATCCATTGCTGAACTCGCAGTTTAACTACGTCACCTAGCTCCACAAGTAGATTACCGGTAATTAACGGCCACTTTCATAGCCTTAGTCAGATAGTTTTGCGCCTTTCACTAGACCTTTCACTAAAAGTAGCCGTTAAATTGTGTTAACGCAAGTGTACGATAACTATCAATTATCTGTAAAATCTGTATAACGTTGTCATGGTTACCGGCTTGCTATTTTAGACCATCTATAAAATTTGGTGTATGTAAATTCATGAACTCCTGATGATATGCTGTTAAATATTTCTTTTTTTAAACATGTGCCATCTGACAACATTGATGTTTATGCAGAAATAACTCCAGAAAATGTTATCGATATAGATAGAGTTTAAGTACCGAACTCACCGAATTGGCAGATTGCACCCATGTGGTCGTTACAGTTCTGATCATTCCATGTACCATCGACATACCTGTTTATTTTAATTGATTTAGTAAAATGCAACATAAACAACAAGAATTTAAACAATGATTTCCCCAATAGCCATATTCAGCTCGCTAGTTCCACTGAGTAAATATGTTGAAAGATTTCTGCATAGTTTGCAGACTTTGACTTTTGACATGTTCTGGTTTTTAACCACATTCCTCAGACTCCATAGTCCAAGAGGTGCATACACGCCAATTAATTTATTTGAGTTAGGATACTCCCTTTCCTCAGAAAACAAATATTGAATAGTATTTATTAATATTCCGCACAATATTAAGCACAACAAATGCTCGATATCTACAAATACAACTCAACAACACAGAAGGAACACGACCTTTTCAAAGAAAATGAGACAAATATACGTATATATAAATTAAACACTACTCACATCTGTGTACAGTGTTCGCCTAGTGAGATGCTTGGCTCACTGGGAGACCAGTTACTGTATATAATTGTCGAATCATCTCTGGCGTAAGTGAATGTATCTTCATGGTTTAAATCGGTAATGCCAATCCAATATGTTTCTAGCGATATATGTTAATCAGATAAGTAAAATTAATAAATAACTATACATAACTATACATGTATTTATATGTTACATTTTCAGATTACTTTACAATTACAACAGCATTTTCAAATTACCTTTCCCACATAAATTCGCAATTTTGTCATTTTCCGTCTTCGTGCGTGGCTCCGCCAGAAATCCACCCATCTGTTCACACTTTCCTTTTGCCTCATGCCATGTGAAATCACCACTTAAAATCGTATATGTTGGAGCTAATTTAAAAATATATATATCTATATTAGTCTATTGCTAAAAAAAGTGCGATAAATACTGGGGTGGTTTTTTCTGTCTTTTATGCGTCGTCACGATTGGCTTTGCAATGGTACATGTATTGAACGAAGCTGAAATAGTGAAATATTGTGTATTATTTATGTGTTATTAGTTTGTTTATAGACTTATGTCAACATTTGTTAGGATATACATACATATGTCTGATTTCAGTGCCATTCACAGTTATAAAAACAAGTTTTGCACATGATTAGACGTTATACTGTTGGAATTTAGCAGCTGTTAGGAACTATAATTCTTGGAGCTAAATCAGATGTCAACGTAAGAGTGGCCGGTCTAAATTCAACCCACAAATCAATCGACCTGTCACGTGATTTACAGCCCAAAATGTATCTACTCAATGCATATCAATATATATATATATATATAATTTGTACTTACCTGAAATTGCTATCTGTCAACGAACCACAAAAGATTGGGTCAGATAAATTTCCGTAGAGAGAATTCATAATGTGAGTAGTGTGATTAAACAGTACCACGTGTATTTCAAAATGAGATTTTTGTTAATTACTATGTTTACACGGCAACAGCAACAGAAGAATATGTCTTCTACATTTATACGGTTGGGCCGTACACAAATTCGGCCCGGTTTGTTGAGAGACGAATGGATCAGATTTCCTAATTATTTGAGAATTAATATATTCCCACTATATTTGAGATTCTGTTCTGACTCTAGATGACAACACCTACTAGAAACCCAATGGCCATCCCGATTCTATGACTTTATGCCATGATAGAAACGACTTTCATTCAGAATCGGGACGCTCACAGAAGACAAATAAGAACGCAGCAAACGATTTGCATCAACCGACGAATAACACTATTTTTCGCAATCGGGGCAGCATCAATTGTCTAGTTGAAGAATGAAACATAAAAACAGCTGAAATTAATTTATTATAGTTGCCCAGAGAACGGCATTAAAGGTTACAGCAGTGCTGTTTATGAACGCAGATCTAGGACACTATTATGTGGTAACGTTTTTTCTCTGTTAATTGCTTAAATAACAACGCCACGTCCGAGTCTTATTTAATTATTTTAACTCGGACTCGGCGTGAAACATCTATATGCGCACTAGATGCTAATAATATGCTATATGTGATCAGGTAAAATTAACTGCATATCATTCATCATGTAACGCACTCAGCTCCTTTATATTAACAATGACTACAAACTACAATGCATTAATGTAAACTTCGCCTACACATAACGATGACATATGTATGTTGTCATAAACATTAAGTGCGTATTTTATAGAAAACGGGCGACAGATTGTAATAGATTAATTACTCTATAATTATTTGATTCAGTTCGATAGAATATTATGCTAGGTAGTGGAGAGCCAGCATGAAGCTGCCTTAGCAAAAACAAACGAAATTTGAAACTAATAACCAACCTCTTACTTTTCTAAGTTCCCTCTCAAAGTGAAACGTAGTATCTAGAATTGAACATGAGTAAGAGACTGTACAGAGTCGAAATATCGATTTTTGCAGTACTTGCAAATTGACCAGGAACCGTTATTTTGGTAAATTAACTGAGTGGGAGGCAGCACCGTCTCCGCTGATGTTATTTTCTCTCCCATTTGATTTTGGTTCTCTTTTCTTTTCACATGGTATTTTTTGGGAACCATTATAACTAGAACAGTTAACACAAAGAGCATCATCACATAACTGTTTATGTGATACACCTTACTGTACCAAAGCCGCTAACGCGTCAACAGAAATATATATGAGGTTCCTACTAGTAGGAACAGTACTAAGAAGTAAATAAACTTACCAATTGTGAGGCTGTTAGGGTAAAACTGGTAGCCGCAAGGATGACTAGTAAATGCAACATCGTTGTCGTCTTCGGTGTAATACTCTTCAACGTGAAATAGTATGCAGAGCCTTGAGTGAAGTGATCGTTCTACTGACAGATATGACCAGTTCGTTTGATTATAAAGATTTTGTTTGCTGACGTGCTGTTTTCCGTCTAATCCCTCCATTTGGAAGCATTTCAATTGGTTCAGGGGAGAACCGCCCACAAACATGAATTAACCCACGCATGCTCGGCTCCATTATTCACGTATCGAATGTTAACAACACATCCCCCGACACGCAGCAAAAATAGCATGAATAAGTTCACTACAGAGAATAGCAGCTACCACGATAATAAATGAAATGCATCAGTTTTATGCGAACATATTATTTTCAGAATGTATTTATAAAATAGTCAAGAGAGTTTCACAATTGCTGTTATCATAAAATATACATAATATTACCATTGAATTGTTTTCATGTGACTCGTCTTCGGCCTGATGTGCACTTTTGAGTAATTATTATAAAGAATTGTTTAGCTATGAATTGTAGTACTCGCTGATTAGTTGCTCTGAAACTTACACAGAACCAGCAAAGTTATTTTTAATGTTTATTTCCAGCAACTAAGTACACCAATGCACCTTGCCGAGGTTCTAAAGAAATGTAATTGAAAATAGCAGTAACATTACCAGGACCAACCTGTACATTTGTAGTTACATATCTGAAATTTACAATGTCGCATTATTTACGTGACGACTGCAGCGGTGAGTTGAATAGCGTAAATGTACTAGTTATTATATTGAAATGGTGTCATCCCACTCAATCGAATATTCACGATCGCGCCTTGCAAGTCCATGAGTCTGAAACACACTGGTAAAACATGGGTGGTTAATTTACTTTCGTTTCGGTAATGTCCTGCATTAAAATGTTAGAATAAAAACACTAATATTTATTTATATTGCTAAAAAAATGTGTGGCCTGAAATAAATGTGATTTCGGCGACAATATCGCCACTAACATATTGTTGCCCCGCGGTCCAGAATATTAGCCAAATCACTGCCCTCAGTCACTGCCCTTTCTGTTCCATAGCAGAAACCTGGTCTGCCTCAAAGATTTCTGTCAAATACATTCTAACACACGTGTAGTACGTGTAGATTGTATTTACTCTTCTTTTAGCTTTCTCGCATTCACATGACGCAAATTGAACTTTCAAATAGTAAAATGCACTGGACACAATATATACAAACTGAAGCTCTTGACCAATTAATAGCATAGTATAGTGCAGGTGATGGCAATCTTATGACTATTTTTAATTCAAACGTATTTGGGTACATTGCTTACAACGAATATCCATCGCTATACATAGTCTTCAAGTCTTTTCTCAACCAACAAAAAACATATGACATTTGATGTCATTATTTAATTTACTAGTCCTCTCGAGCTTGGTCCTCGGCGTTACAATCACAGTCAAATCTGTGTTCTTGACCATCTTTATATAAAGACCACCTGTTCACCCTTGATCAATTTTGTGCAGTCCCAATATTTACATGTATATGAACGCCACCTGTCTAATGTGACGCACTATTTTGGCACTCACGCTGGTTTGGTGAATCTGTACCAAGGCCAAAATGTGGATAGTGTTTTGCATTAGCAGCTACACTGGTATTTTAAAATTAATCTAAGAAAAGAATTGTTATTTACTCTCACTTTTCGGGATACAATCGCTCTCAAATTGTTGTCCTATGTTTATTCATGAATCAACTAACTACCCACTTGTATATAGATGGCAATTTCTTAAAGCTCCACAGGCCATCAATTTTACGGGTTTAACTGTACGATATTGGCCATTTGGCCATTGATATTTAATTTGAAAATCCGAATTTAGTTTTTTTTATAGAAACAATTCTTTGCTATCATCCTGCACTTTTTGTAAAACTGAGTATGAATAAATCGTTTTAGTCACGAACCTTTCTCTACCCGCATAGGTGTTTAAAAAACAGGGGCAGATGCAGAATTTTAAATTAGAGGAGAGGACAAACCTTTACAATGACGTCATTACCACTCAGTATTGTGGGATATATGTATATGAGCATGCCCATCCCCAAGACACGAATCACTGTTGCTGCATAGATGTCTAAGTAGTGACTTTTATGTGATAATTCAAAAGTGTATTCTACACGGTGAATAGGATAATATATGCGCTATTTTCGTATTACACACTCGGTCGTAATGATAATTTTGCGACGCACATACAACTGAAATCATTTATCAACACCAGCTTAAGATCGTACACACACAATATTCGTTAAAGTAAAATACTAGTAACCAATATGCGTATATGCAGTGTTTGTTATTGTACGTACAAAACAATCAGTGCACATGAAGACTTTGTTTAGCATTTTCATATAACAATCTATTCATACGTGAACATTGTCACCTTTTGAAAACCCATTAGTTATATAAGCCTATATCAACGGCAGCGCGATAATTGTGGCAGTGTGTGGTTGTTGAGTATTCCCGTTTGCTAATCGAAAAAAATCAGAATGACGTGTGGTATAGCTCATAATATATTTACTCCAACAAATTGATTGACAAGAAACGTAGCATAAGACCATGTGAATCGGTGAGATTTGATTTAAAGAGGGTCAGCCCAGAAGTCAGTATAAGTTGCCGATGGTCTAGTCTCCTGTTCACCCCTTTCAAGTATAGCTATGAAGATCACATATAATAATTTCTCCATGTTCTCTTTTAACCAATTTGTTCAAAGTTTGTACAGACAAAACATTGAATAATGAACACTGCACTTGTTGTTTTTATTCTGGCACCTTCGTGGGTTGCGCAGTAGCAATGCAGTCCGTGTAGAGATGCGCAGTAGCGCTATTTAGACTCGTCATGGTCGAATTTACCGGCTACCGCCGAGGAAGCAACAATCATATACATTATAATAATTATTTTATGATTTCTGAAGCTACTAAATATCATTAAATATTATAATTTCTAATAATTCCTTAAAATAACGAACAACTAAATAACAAACACCCCGAACGAAATTTTAGTGGTGATATTATCTCGCCAAAACCATGTTCATTTCATTTCAAACAAATGTCATACAAAGTCATATTTCCTAACATTTGAATGCACAACGTTATCTGATGTATCTATGATCCATGGATGTTTTCCACATGACTCAAAAATAACTTGATTACTTTATCTCAATTGGGTTAAGTAACAGATAATCGGTGTCACGAACGCCCTGAAAACACAGTTCTATGAGCTAATTTTCCAGTCTATCGTTGTAGGCGGCTCACCGGTCGCCCGAGGATGAGTAACAGTGGCGAAAATGCAAGCGAGATTCGGGGTGGGTGTTCTGCCAAACCGAAAATAAAAACAAACCTGACAATTCGAAGATGAAATGTCTCCCCACTCTTTTCGAATGTTTCTGTGCATTTTGTGGGGTTTTGGTTCAAGTTGAAATTTCCAACACGACAAGGTCTTCCACTAATAAAAATGCTTGCCTGTTTTAAAACTGTCCCTTCAAATTTTAGAATTTTTAGTAATTTTAAAACACTTTTTTTCAAACAAATTCAGAACGCAAATACTCCCTCGACCAGCTAAGTTCTCCCCGAAACTAAATTTATACTAAATACCATGTTAGTATAAAAGTAAATATGACTGCGTGTGTGACTAGAACCTACGATTGGGTACGGGTATCCATTAAAATGTTGCTTAATAACCGAGTATATTCCATGAATAGACCAAGAAATCCATACCTTCGAGTAACATTGGGGTAAAGGCCCCCTGATCTGGTCTATCAGATCAGGTGAATGTTGTAAGATGCCGTGTTTGTAGAACGAACAACTCTGTCAAAGATTAAAACATTTTCAGTTATCATATTTTCTTTAATATATGGCAAACCTGCAGCACAGCTGATCAACTACTACACAAAAGTCTAATTCTTAAACATTACTCCATGACGTGCAAGCGTGTGTATGCATGGTGTCCAACCAACCCCCGCATGTTATCCGCATGTTAGTTTTTCAGTGTGCTTCGGTAGCATTGGTTTGAGATCGTGGATTGTTAATGAAATTCTTT